CCGGCCTTTTTTTTCATTTTGTAATTAAGCGCAAGTATCAAGAACAATTACTCCAGTAAAATTATTTTTATCGTCCTTTGTTTGAGCAAGTGTTTCAGGAGCATTAGGATATTATTCATCACTTTCTATAGATTATGATTTTATCTGCTTTCTTACAACATTTGGCGCAATTCCTATCACTCACGTCATTATATACTCAACAATATCATTTACGCATTTATGCTAGGCCGGAGGTGCATCTCGCTTAATGCTGGCTCAATCTGCGCCCTCTAGACGCCGATCTGGCACTACTGGAGGGCGAGGTGGCGGTTCCGGCGGTGCAGGTGGTGGAGCTGGTGTTGGCAACGGGTCCAGAGTGGCGCCAAGGCGATCGGGCAGACAGAGGAGGCATAGAGTGAGTCATTCGATTGTGCCTTCAGCTCTTGGAACATTACTAAATTATATAATCTTTTTCAGTCTAGGTTATCGGTTTATTTCTTGTTCGATGATAGAGTTTTGTTAGTTTAAGAAGAAAAAATATGCTAGCCCTTTTACTAAGTTCTCTGATTTAGTTTATCGATTAATCATTATTATGCACACGTTTCCTCTGAAGAGTTGTTTTCCTTATCAAAATTTGGCGTATGTCTATTAAGTTCTAAAGGAAAAATCTTATTCCTTCTACGAATTTCACATATGAGGCAAACGTTATCTTGTCATAATTCATGTTCCTATAACAATGCTCATTATTAAATATGCATGAACATACAAAATAATTTCGTTTCGAATGAAAGTGAGGAATGAAGAGATTTGTACGTCAATCTCACTAGGAGACGACTGCAGTTTTCTTTTGATCTGTTGTCGTTCGATTCTACTTGGAGGTTCAGGCTCGAAACCCTACTTTTGCTACAGTGAAAGCATGCTGAGCTTCTTAGATATGTTGAAAAGATGGTTTTCTAAGTATCCGCTAATATATTGATGTTGGATTTCAAAGAATCGAGTGGAAGGGATTCGTAAGTTGGCCTCGCCGGAAGTAGTAGGGGAGTTTCTGTGGCTAGATTTATGCGAATAATTTCTCGGCTCACCG